CTTCCACTTACTGATGGGCAGCCTGAGGCTCACTGCAGTGACCTGCCCGAGGCCTGGTAGAGGCCTGAGGACCTGGCTTCCCATTGCTTTCATCTCCTCTTGACGCCCTCTGAGCACCCCTAGGGGACAAGCCTGCCAGCCAGCCAGCCTCAGGGAAAAGGATTTGAGTGTCATGGTTGAGAGCACTGGTTTCAGAGCCAGCTGAGTCTGGGCTGAAATCCCAGCTGTGGCTCGTCCCAGCTGTGTGACCTCGGGCTGGTTACTTGCCCTCTCTGGGCTCCCTTTCTGGTTGTGAAAGGCAGATAATGAGAGAGCCCTCTCGGAAGGGTTGGAGGACTTGGGGAGGAATGCCATAGGGAGCCCACCAGGCTGGTGAGGGAGGAGTTGCGGGGAGGAGAGGCCAGTGGGTGAAGGACTAGGGTGTCATCTCCACAGACCATCTTTGAGATCAATGCCTCCAGCCGGGACCTGAGCAGCCAGGTGATGCGGGCCAAGCGGCAGAAGGACTGCAAGGCCATCGCCAGCTTCCAGCAGGGGCGGCAGGAGCGGCAGGAGGGCCTGGCTGGCACAGCCCGGAGCTGCCCAGCGCGGCAGGTGGAGCAGCCTGGGAAGGAGGAGGAAGAGGCGGCGGGAGAGAGTGTGGAGGTACACACCCCACCCGGGAGTCTGGGCTGGGTCAGAAGCTGGTCCTTAGTGCGAGAGGCAGGGCTGGGGGACCCCAGAGGTGTCCTGCTCACCTGGTGGGCAGGGTCCTGGGCCTGCTCATGCTCCCCTCTTACGTTTGATTTGGATGGGGGTTCAGTAGCCAAAACATAACAGCTGAGAACCCCAGACTCGTCCCTAACACAGAGAGGGCCAGGCCCAGACAAGGCAGGGCCTGGCCTGGTCACACAGCCGGGAGATTAAGCTGGGATGGAACACGGGTCCCTCCTTGGTTGGCACCTCAGCCCCCCTGCCCCCATCTGTCCTGACCCTGCTTGTGCTTGAGGTGGGGCGAGCTGCACGTGCAGAGGAGGAAATGGCAACCCCAAGCCGGACCGGTGTTGGGGGGCAGGTGGGCTCCCAGGGGCTGCAGGTGTGACTGGGCCTTGGTCTGCCAGGACGTCTTCACAGAGGTCGTGGGCCGGAAGCGGCAGCAGCCAGGACCTGAGCAGGGAGCCAAGAGGCGGAAGGAGGAGGCCCGGCAGCGCGACCAGGATTTCTATGTCCCCTATCGGCCCAAGGACTTTGACAGTGAACGGGGGTGAGCCGCCCGCTGGAGGGTGTGTGTGTGGTGTATACATGTGTGTGTGTGTGTGGTCTATATATGTGCATGTGTGTGTGGTGTATGTATGTGGCCTATATATGTGCATGTGTGTGTATGCACGGTGTATATATGTGTGTGGTGTGTATATTTGTATGTGTGCACACACATGTGTATATATGTGTGCATATGTGGTGTATATGTGTGTGTGGTGTACATATGTGCGTGTGTGGTGTATGTGTATGTACATGTGTGGGTGTGGTATATATATGTGCATGGGTGTGGTGTGTGTGTGGTGTATATATGTGTGTGGTATATGTGTGTATGTCCATGTGTGGTGTGTATATATATGTGTGTGTGGTATATGTGTGTGTGTGCGTACGTGTGTGGTGTGTATATTTATATGTATGTGCGCATGTGTGGTATATATGTGTGTGGTGTATGTGTGTGTACATGTGTATGTGGTGTACGTATGTGTGTGTGCGGTGTGCATGTGTGGGTGTGGTATATATGTGCGTGGGTGTGGTGTATGTGTGTGCACGCGGTGTATATGTGTGTTGTATATGTGTGTGTGCATGTGTGTGGTATATATGTGCATGTGTGTACATGTGTGTGGGGGGTGTGTGGCAGGTGGGGCCTGATGGGCCCCCATCAACCCTGTTGTGTCTCCCCACCGCCCTCTGCAGCCTGAGCGTTGGTGGGGACGGGGGCGCCTTTGAGCAGCAGGTGGCTGGCGCTGTCCTGGACCTGATGGGGGACGAGGCCCAGAACCTGACCAGGGGCCGGCAGCAGCTCAAGTGGTGAGTGAGCTCGCCAGTGCAGCCCTTCCATGCCTGCCTGTCTGCCACGTGGTCCCTATCCACTGGCATGTGACCCCCAGCCTGTCCTGACTCCCCTTTGATCCCTAGAGCAGGAAATATGCCACCCCATCCCCTCATTGATCCTGCACAACACAAATTACGATCTGTGACCCCCTCCTCCAGTCCCCATGTCATCGCACAATAAAGATGATGAACCCTACCCCACCCCCATTCAGTGCCTAGAAATGGCAGAGTAGGGGTTGGGAACCCTGTCCCTGACCGAGGCCCCCCAGTTTTCAGTGACCCCCACACACACCGCCTTTGAGACCTAGGCTACTAGGGAAAGGTGAGGAGGACCCGGGGACAGGCCTTTATTGAGCACCTACTGCATGCCAGTCATGGCCATGCTGCTTTTCTACAACACTCCAACATCCCAGTGAGAGGGCCAGGGGAGGGAGGCCACCCCCGGCCCCCTCCGTCCACAACAGCCCACCAACCCTCTCTGCTGCAGGGACCGGAAGAAGAAGCGGTTTGTGGGACAGTCCGGACAGGAGGACAAGAAGAAGATCAAGACAGAAAGTGGCCGCTATATCAGCAGCTCCTACAAGCGTGACCTGTATCCTGAGGGGCGGGGCTGAGTGGCACCTCCTGTAGGCGGGGCTGAGTGGTACCTCCCATAGGCGGGGCCTGTTTATGCTGGGGGCGGGGCTGAGTGGCACCTCCCGTGGGCGGGGCCTGTTTATGCTGGGGGGCGGGGCCTTCTCCCAGCCCAGGGGTTTCCTGGGCTTCAGGATCCGCCAGCCGCCTCCTTAACACCTTCCCAGCTACCAGAAGTGGAAGCAGAAACAGAAGATCGACGACCGCGACTCGGAGGAGGAAGGGCCATCGGACCGGCGAGGCCCAGAGCAAAGAGGCTGGAAGCGGGGCCGAGGCCAAGGTAGGATGCACCGCCACACACACGTGGGCAAGTGGAATGTTTGGTCACCTGGGAACTTGGTCCCCCGATCCCTCCCGAGTCCCTCAGCTGGTGACAGGCTAAGGGGGTTTGTACCGTTCTGTCTGCCAGAGCCTGTGCTGCAGGATGGCCCCGTGCGCCAGCTGCCCTGCGTGCCAGGGCCTCAGGCTGCCCCTCGGGGCTTTGCTGTGCCCTGAAGGGAGGGGACGAGCCTGTCCCACCCCCCAAGCTTGCGGTCAGAGAGGGCTCCGCTTGCCGTGCGGAGACAGGCTCTGCTAGACACTCGCCACGCAGGGCCTGGGTGCGAAGACAGAATGCCCACCTTACAGGCAGGGACGCTGAAGTGGGTCACGGGGCAGTGACTGGCCCTGGGCTACCCAGCTGCCTGCCACCCCCCCTGGGGACGGGAGCGTGGCACTATGTCCTGGGCTCTCAGTCACTCCTGGGTCCCCAGGGCCTGGCACAGAAGAGGCGCTCAGTCAGGCGTTGGTGACGTGTTAATAATCCTAACAATTACACCCAGGAGGCCCTTCCTCTGGGCAAGGCCTTGTTCTGGGCATTGTCCACATTAAATCATTGAGTCAGGAGGACCCATGAGGAGGAAGGTGCTATTATTCCTAATTCACCAAGGGGGAGACAGAGGCACAGAGAAGTGACTTGCCAGGTCTAAGAGGCCACAGCTGGGATTTGAACCCCGGAAGTCCTGGCTTGAGGTTCCAGACCTATACCGTAGACTACTGTAGCCTTGTTAAGCACCTACTATGTGCCAGAGGCTGGGGCCACAGCAGTGAACGCACAATGGGAGTGGGGGCAGGGGAGCAGTCCGGAGGCTTCTGGGAGGAGGAGACATGGGGAGTCAACCCAAAGGCTGAGCTCCCTGGATCCTTGTCTTGGCAGGTGCCTCCCAGCCGCGCACCTCAGGCCCCCCCGCCGGCCGCGTGCGCTCAGAGCTCAAGACCAAGCAGCAGATCCTGAAGCAGAGGCGCCAAGCCCAGAAGATGCGCTTCCTGCAGCGTGGGGGCCTCAAGCAGCTCTCTGCCCGCAACCGGCGCCACGCCCGGGAGCTGCAGCAGGGCGCCTTTGGCCGGGGCGCGCACTCCAAGAAGGGCAAGATGAGGAAGAGGATGTAAAGAAGATGGCCCAGCCCTGGCTCCTCCCGGCTCCAAGTGTGAACACCAGCACATGCTCCTGCCTGCCGCTCTGTGCCTGGCCCCGTGCAGGGCGTTGGGGAGCTCCCTGCAGAGCCTCCGCTCATGGGGAGTGCTGTAGGCCCCAGGGCAGCAGCTGCCTCTGCTGAGACAGGGACGCGTGTGCAAGGTTTTGAAGGGTGCATAGGAGTTTGCGCCCTGAATTGGCGACTCGGCTCCTGCTGCTTCTGTGTGCTCTGGGTTCAGAGGTGGTGGTCACACAGGTCTGAGCCGTGAGTGCCGAAGGCCCAGTGATGTATTTTTAAGGTAATAAACCTTTCCTGAGCACCTCTGGTGGACCAGGAGTGCCGTCCACTCTAGGAGTTGGAAGGGACAGACCCAGGCACTGAAATCCCAGCTAGCGCGCCGGGTGAGTTGAGAGCGTGTGGGCAAGTCCCGTGGGATCCCCCGGGGACCCTCTGAGGTTGGGTTCTGTTGGAGTCCCCAGTTTGCAGAGGAAAATGAGGCTCAGAGGATGAGTTAGCTGTCTAAGGTGGGGGAACCCCAAAGCTGACAGTCGGTCCCCTTCCTCCTGCTGGGCCAGCCTCGTAGCTGGGAGTGGAGTTGTGGGGACGACACAACAGGATGCAGGGTCTGGGCAGGGGCACAGCTGCTCCTCTGGCTGTGAAGGGGTTCACCCTGCCCCACCACACACCAAGCGGGCAGTACCTGGCCAGGCCTCTGTCCTGCCCGAGGCCCTACTGGGTCCTGGAAGGTCAAGGGTAGCCTCCAGCAGCTGCATATCGAGCCGAGGGAGGGGCCTTGTGAGCAGGTGCCCTGGGAGTGGGACCTCTTGCTGGTCCTACTGATTTTACTTGACTTAACCCAACACTCACCTGGAATTTACCAGCATTTGCACCAGGCCCCATTGCAAGCACCTGGCAAATACCTGCTTGTTAATGCCCCCAGCTGCCCTGGAGGAAGAACCTGGCCCCAGGCCAGGTGATGGGGGTGGAGTGGGTGCCCCCATGTCGGCCACAAGTTCTGAGTGCTGGCTGTGTGCCCCTCGTGTTGTCCCGCCGCCATCTGAGTGGGCACGGCCCTCCCATCTCCAGGTGAGAGCCATTCCGCCCCACCCCAGGAAATGTGCACCTTCTTTCCGGAGAAGCCCCTGGGGGGGCGCCCACTACTCACCAGGGTCGGGCTAGGGGGCCGCGGTCTCGGGCTCACTCTGGGGGAGGCTGGCCAGCACGGCAGAGAGGTCCAGGAGGAACAGCTTCACCTGGGGGTCCCCAACAAGCCACAGTCACACCCGCGCCCACCCCCAATGCTGCAAGACCAGGGTCGGGTCGGGACCCTCTAAAAGACAGCAATGTTGGTGGTTCCGGGTTTTTTAAGGCCCAGTCGGCCTCCCAAACGATTCCTTAGCAGATGCCTTCGCAGTTGGGTACCACCTGCATTATAATTAAATTCTTACTTTCACCTCCATCAATTTATTTTCCCCCTTTAATTGGATCAGTCATATTTGTTGGCGTCTGGCTTACTCACTTTCTCCATGGGTGGCCCTTCTCTGCTTTGAGCTAATTCACTTACTGACACGGACTTAATGAGCATCCCTGGCTCCACTGCCAAGAACCAGTCACCCGGCGGACCTTCCCTTGGGCGCTCCCTTCACACGTTTCACTGAAATCAACGTCTGAGATGGAAACGATTCCAGCAAAGATGGGGAATGTTTACCCTGACCAGTTTGGCTCAGTGGATAGAGCGTCAGCCTGCGGACTGAAGGGTCCCAGGTTCGATTCTGGTCAAGGGCACATGCCTGGGTTCCTGGCTCGATCCCCAGTAGGGGGCGTGCAGGAGGCAGCCGATCAGTGATTCTCACCATTGATGTTTCCCTCTCCCTTCCTCTCTGAAATCAATAAAAGTATTCTTTTTTTAAAAAAAGAAAACGAAACCGTTGCCGAGTTTGGCCGGTTGCTGTCGCTGACGGGGTGAGTCCTAGGCCCCAGACCAGGGCGTGGAAGGCCTAGTTGCCCCGTGTTGGGATCAGTGTTGGTTGAAAAGGACTGGCGTCTGCTGTCACTGCATAGTGAGCCTCTGTCCCTCCTAGCGTCACCTGGGGGTGGACCTCTGTACCCGAGCCACACCGGGGAGAGCAGTGGCCCACAAAAACCCACCCAACGCAGGGCGTGGCACAAAGGTGGGCTCCGGGGCCCCAGTTCTTGCCATTTGGTTGGAATCCTGGCCATGGGGGGCAGGGGTGGGGTGGGGGAAAGGAGTGCCTCTCTCTGTTTCCCCCACTCCTCAAGGGGGTCATGCTCTGGGAACCCCCAGAAACAAGTGTCTCCAGAGTCAGAAGCCCCCTCCTCTGGCTGTAAACCTTGCAAACCTGAAAGCATAGAAAAATGGTGTGTGGTCCACAGTGACACCTGTGAGGCCGCGGTGCAGAGACCACTGCTCCACCCCACCCCCGCCCTCGCCAGGGAAGCAAGGCCTGTCGCATGACCGCAAAGCGAATCTCGCCCGGCAGGCCTGGCTCAGCGGTTGAGCATCAACCTCTGAATCAGGAAGTCACGGTTGGATTCCCAGTCAGGGCACATCCCCAGGTTGCTGATCCCCACAGCCGATTAATGATTCTCTCTCATCATTGATGTTTCTCTCTCCCTTTCCCTTCCTCTCTGAAAGCAATAAAAAAAATTTTTTTTTTAAAAAGCAAGTCTCAATCTCCTGGCTTATATTGATGTCACTTGTTTGACTCTTGGCATAAATGCATGGAGTCGGTCCGTATACACCCTGGCCCTCCCTGCATATGCAGGACACAGACCCAAGGGGCCCGACTTCCTTCCGACCACATGGCAGGTGACAGCACTAACCCCAACTGGGGGCCCAGGTGGCACTGAGCCCGTATCTGGTGCCTCTGATCAGAGGGCCAAGCTTAACCCAGAGGTGGGGTTTCAGGCGTGGGGGTGTGCCGAAGGCTTGGGGGCTGGAGGTGACAACAGGGGCCCTCACCTGCTCCAGCTGCCCCTCCGTGTCCTCGAGGTCCAGGGCAGGCGGCTGCCTCTGATGCTGGCACACCAACTGGAACAGGTTGAGCGCCGCCATCCTCACGCGGCCCAGCAGCAGCGTCTTCTCAGCGGCTGTGTTCTGGATCTGAACCCACTTGGACTCCTGGAGAACGCCCCGTCCGTCCCCGTTAAGGTGTGATGGCTGGAG